CTTCCAATCTCAGAAAAATAGCCAACAGCCGATTTTGTACAGGGGGCATGAAGCCTGAATAGCAGAGTGCAGCATTTCGAACAGGCCCTCACTAAAACCTGTGAAGGAGGAAACACACAAAAGCAAGTGCGAACAAATTTGACCGAAAACCGGCATCACTTACCACTTTACTTTGCAGGTCTGTGCGTTCCATTCCACAATGTGTTTGTCCTCTGAACAGCTATACAAGCAGCAGTTGTCCTGATGCCATCTCACACAGTTTACTCTATTGTCATGACCACCGTCCTACAAAAGGTAAAAGAGGGTCAACTCATTAATAAATGAAGAAGTCTTGACTACTGAGTCTTCCCCACACCAACAATGTAACAAGCTGCTCTTTCGAGAACTAAATTCAAATCATTGGCAACTTGAAAAGAGGGTGTGGTTTTAAAGACCAATATACATATACAGTTATATAAGTTAAAGATATTTTATATTTTGATATGTACATGTAAGTATTTGAATTAATTCTTGCTCTAGCACTTCAGAGTTAACAAAAAAATTGTCCTGCCCACTATTTTTATACACACAGCCAAACAAGGCTGTCTAACAGTATGAAATTTGCTCAAAGGAAAGGCTAGCACAGATGTCTTGCTGATAGTCATCTAAGTGCCTCCTTGCTTAAGTATGTTCAGAGATGAGTATCTTTCCCTTTGTACTCAGCATTCAAGAGTAAGCTATCATCAGATCAGAAGACCCTACAAAGGGTTATCATTCACCTCTCTTAACAACCAAAATCTCTGCAGCTCAAATACACACTTTAATCATTTATGAAAATATTTCCTAAAGTTTATAAAATTCACTATTTGAATCGGCACCAGCCAGCTCAGACTGCTCCCAAAAGCGTCACTGCAAATCAGCTTTGAGCAAGACAAAACACATCACAGCAAGACATTCTGTTCATTAAGGACAGCTAAAAGTGACGGCTCTTATTCTAGCAGGAATAATCTTTTAATTCAACCTATCTGTAAAAAAAAAAAAAAGTACTCACCAAATAACATCTGCTATCCTGCTCCTACAGAAGAGCAGCCAGTGTTTTCAAACTGACTGAAACTGTAAATTTTAACCTGAAACTTTTATTTTGTTCATAGTTTTCAGGCATAAATACAGCTTTTCCATAAAACAGAGTTGATACTTGTTAGCTAGTGTCACTTGCATGTATCATGATTTTAAGAAGTCATTGCTTTCTCTTAATTCGTGTACATTGATCACCTACACACAACTAAGAGTTTAGAAGCGAAAGTATGCCCAAGTATCTCACAGTATTGCAGAGAGTCATTCATACAGGTTTATTTTGCTTGTTATGTAACCCAAGACTAAAACCAAGGTATTTAGGAGTAACAGGGAAGTTATCAATGAGAAGGGCAAACTTTGAAAATGAGCGTATCTCATTTGAGAAAAATCACATGCTGAGAGGGCTCAAAAGCTTCCACAAGGGAGGTAAATTTACATCTGTACGGAAGAGTCCATCAACACGACACCTTCCCAAGAGTCAACGAGTACTTCAATCCTGCCCTCCTCTCCCTGTGCAGGAACTGAGGGAACAACACTCCCCCAGAGGACTTAACTCTCCAGTTAGGCATTTCATCATTACTGTTATTTTTAATGCAAAATAACAAATCCATGCACAACGTTAAAATATTGCATTAACTTTGAAACCAAGATTTATCAACGTGTACATACTCCCAACAATAGAAAAAGCACCACTTAAAGATTCCCAAGTACCTGAATTACTGCACCTCTATTCATATACGCAGCTATTAAGAAAAAGATCTGCGTAATTAGGTTAGTTTATTCCATTTTTGAGCAGCAGAAAGAACAGCATAAACTGACTGAAACCATCAGTATTTGGTAGCATGTGATAAAGAATGTATTACTTACTAGCTTGCTCTGTAATTCTCCTTTTACTGTGCTGTACAACAAAATGCTACCAACTGCTGTACCAATAGCCAGGATATCTAACTGCTTGTCCACTTCTGCAACTTCAGACTTCCGTTTTTTCCTCTGGGGGCCATCCTGGAAAATCAAAAAAGAGAAAACATGAAATTAGTTAGTCTGACCAGCTACTCTCAGTGTTAAAGCAGAGGGGAAAAAAAACTTCTGTAAGTTTGAGACCAGTCAGCCAGCACAAACTCTGCTAAGACACAAAATGAAGACACTGAAGTGCACAGCAACCTAGAGACTCATCTTATAGCTCCATGTACAAGGTAACGAAGTTGCTATGAGTCACTTGGAAACATTTGGTGGAGGCCATTTTGCTAGCCTAGTGGCCACATCCATGAGGGAAAAAAACCACATTTAAGTTTTTCCCAAAGTTCGTGTCCCAGAGGCAAAGATTAACACAATCAGAATACTTCATCCATAAAATGGAAATGCTTGATCAAGAATGATCAGTTTCGTCTTTTCTCAAAAGCTATTCAGAAGAGTCTTGCAAATATTAAGTATTCATAATGCCTCTTAAAAAGAAAGCGCTACCCCACTCGGCAGAGGGAAGCAACCGGAACTCGAAGCGAAGTGCTCTGCCCAAGTCCTGGTGTCGGTACCAGTGGTTCTCCTATGATCAGGCAATTCTTAAGTCTTCACCCTCTTCCTTTGCAAGTGCTACCAATCACTTCAAGGAGGGATTTCACTTCATCTCTCTTAATCAAACACGGGTGAATGCAGCACATCACTGGGAAGGGGAGAAGGAATAAAACTGGCTCTTGAGCATGTGAAACTAAAATAAAGAAGGCAGAAGAAGCCACTACATTTATTCTCACCGGGTTAACCCCACATAACTAATCACACACACAAAAGAAAAAAGGAAAGAAAAAACTGTTCAAGGACTTCAGAAGAAAAAAATCATCCCTAATGCTACTGATTAGTTTTTAAATTGGACTTTGCTAAGTCTCCTTACATTTGTTACATCACAGCAAAGCATTCTCTCCAATTTTAAAAAAAAAAATTATACACAAGCTAATGCTTCCTCTACACAACAGATATATTTGCACTGATGAGCAGCCAGAAGAAGCCAAAGGAGACTGATAAAATGTGAGCAATCAGCTCTGTGCAAGCTCCACGCAGTGTAGCTAATCTGTCATACAAGACATCACACAGCGAACGTAAATAATTTTTACTCAGGCCCAGAGACATCACGACAATCAGGATTTGGGAGTTTTCACCGCAACTAAAATTTAAAAGTTTAACAGTGCAGGATAAATACTTCAGTTCTTTGAAGCGGGACTTTCTTTTCCTCTGTATTTAAACACAGACAACACTTTCTGCAAGGAAAAGTGTTTTGGTTTAGGCCAATAAATACCAAAATGCTACTAAAATACTTTTACATCAAAAGCAGTCTCTTGAGAAAAGAGGTTACATTGTTTTTTTTGCAAGCATTTGTTTAGGCTTCATCTTTCCTGGGAAAGAAAAGCATTTATAAAATATTACAAAAACACAGGTGCTGAGAAACCATCACAGTTGCAAAGCACAACCAAGTAGTAAATCAACCAGATTTTAAGACAATATATGATAAAAGACTCAACTAGTTAAATTTTTGGCAGCAATGCCAACTAAGCCGTCTTGAAACTGCTGTCTGACATGCAAAGACAAGGGCCACATAGCCAGTGGAGATGCAAGTACAGTTTATGTGTTTTCTGGTACTTTTCAATCTCTTTATGTAGTTTTACTAATTACCCCACACACCCCCACTGCAAAGCAAAATCACAAGTAAGAACAGATTTTATTCTCTTCCCTTGCATAAATTTTTTCACTAAAATCTGTTCACCCTCCACTTCAGTTTGTTATGGACAATTTCCCTTGGAACAACTCAAAGGTACAACAAAATTCCCGCTGAAGTCCACAGTTATTTCCAGTGTCAAGAAGAAAGCGAGACGCAGTGAAGGTTTTTCCAGTTATTTTTTCACATGTATTGCTTTACTGACCAACCTTTATCAGCATTATTAGTAGGGCATTTTGTCAGAAATTTTTCCGTGAAAGAAATGCCAGTGGAAAATTCATACACCTATTAATGCTGGAGTTGATTTGAAAAAACACTCCGAGAACTAAAAAAAAAAAGGAAATAAAAAAAAAAAAAA